GCATAGTGGTGGCAGAAAAACACTGGGAACAATTGGAGGGAAACGGGTAAAATCCATGGAATAAGAGAAAAAATGTATTGTTGTGCCTTTGGATGTCAGAATCGGAATGCAAATAATTTTTATATAACACTGTCGTCAAAGATGCCATTTGAAGCTAAACGCAAACGTTTAAACGGACAGACTATGGATGAAATCTGCTATGATTACCCTACTTTTAAAGCATAAATTTGATTTTTAACAATGGGTCTATATAATATTCATATAGGGGACATAATGTATTAGCCCTACAGTTGAAATACATGCATGAAATACTATTTAAACCTATAACATTTTACATAACATTTACCTATTTTATCTCACAATTCTGACTTTTTTTCTCCTAGTTCGGACTTTATAACTTTATTCAAGTCAACAATTGCGAGTTTGTCAATTCTGAGGGGAAAAAAGCCAGAAGTGTGGGATTATAAACTAAAAAGAAAGAATGACGAGTTGATTTTTATTACCAGAATTGTGAGATATAATAGAAAAAAGTAAAAATTTTGAAATATAAACTCAAAATTAAATTTTTATTCTTTTATTCCATGGCTTGAATAGACTGCTACGTTAAAACTGTCATTTTCTGCCACCAGATAGGCTCCGCCCACAAAAACGTCATCACTGTTTGCAAACACTGAAATTGGTCTATAGAGTTCATGAAGTGTCTGAGTGTTAAAACAGTCTGTCTTTCTCAGGAGACACACACCTTATGGGAATCAGACAGACTACAGGATATTTGAACTCAACAAACGACTTCAGAACTGGACAGAGGTGAGGCGGATCTTCTGCTGTTCTGTTTACATTTACAGCTCTGTGTTTCTCAGTCTTAACTATCAGCACTTTAAACATTTTAATAATTTAAGATGCTTTTCATATGCCTGACATAAACCCTATAACGGTAGCACAGGATCATCTATCGGCTTCAGCTGGCTGAATGATATCAGAGAGCCATCTCATACTGTTTTTCTCTCTCAGGAGTGTGATAATCTGTGGTGGGACGCTTTCACTACTGAATTCTTTGAGGATGACGCTATGCTCACCATCACGTTTTGTCTGGAGGACGGTCCTAAACGATACAGTGAGTGTCATGTATCAGGCGTTTTATCCAGAGACGTTTAGATCTGATATTAAGATCTGTGTCAGGTGATCTGATTGTAAGTTGTCTATTGATTGCAGGATTGACTTTGAAACCGTTTTCACACATTTGGAGCCGATAAAGAGATGCTTGATTAATATCCATATAAAGGGAGTTATAATAATCAAGCCTCGTTTAAATAAAAGCACGAATAACCCTTTCAAAGTCCTTAAAAGAAAGAAATGGTTTTACTTTAGCCAAGACTCTGAGATGGAAAAAACTGGTTTTGACTACCCTACTAATCTGTTTGTCAAATTTGAGAGCACTATCAAAATACACACCCAAATTCTTCACAAGTGGCTTCACACAGGAAGACAAATGGCCAAAATTTAAACCAGGGGAGGTAGCAGCTTCTGAAGGTTCAAAAGCTATAATCTCAGTTTTACCTTCATTGAGGTGAGGAAAATTTAAGGACATCCATGCCTTAACATCTGCTAGACAAGCCAACAGAGTATCCAAACCCATGTTATTAGGTCCCGGGGCAGATAGATTTGGGTATCATACAGTGGAAGGAGATACCATGTTTCTAAAAGACCGACTTCAGGGGAAGCATATACAAGGAGAATACAATCGGAGCGAGAATCGAGCCTTGAGGGACACCTCAAGTAAGAGGAGCTGTATCCAAAGTAAATTCACCAACACTAACAGAGAACCTTCTATTATTGAAATAGGATTGAAACCATTTGAGAGCATTTCCCTAAATGCCCACCCAGTGCTCCAAACGAGAGATCGGAACAGAATGGTCAATTGTATAAAATGCCGCCCTCGGGTCTAACAGCACTAACACAGCAGACTTGCCAGAATCGAGAGTCAGTAAAATATAATTTAGAACTTTTACCAGTGCTGTTTCTGTGGAATGGTTTTTCCTAAAACCCGATTGGAACACTTCGAAAGTATTGTTATTAAGCAGAAAGCTCTGTACTTGGTGAAACACTATTTTCTCTAAAATTTTAGACATACAAGAAAGATTTGAGACTGGTCTAAAATTAGTCGGCACTGTTGGATCTAAATTAGGCTTTTTAAGAAGTGGATGGACAGTGGCGTGCTTCATGTCATCTGGTACTATTGCCGTTTAAAGGCAGCTGTTCATAATCTTTAGAACAGTAGGACCAATCACCGCAAAAATTTGTTTAAAAAATGGTGGAGGAAGAATGTCACGGGGTGGGATCCAGAAAGTTTAAGATGGCTTACAATGTTTTGTAAAGCAGGCAGAGTTACAGACTCAAACTGACGCAGAGTGGAGGGACAGAGGGTCTTGTCCACAGAAAATTTGTATAATATTTGTCACACAACTGAAGGGTTAACAGCGGCATTTATAGTGGAAAAAAGTGCTCTTGGATTGTGAAAGTTCTTTTCAATCAGATCTGAGAAGTACTTCAACTTTGCTGTTTTCAGCACTTTCTGATATTGTATCAGATTGTCCCTAAGTATTTCATATGAAACTTGCAGCTGATCTTTTTTCCACCTTCTTTCGGCCCTTCTGCAGACCTGTCGAAGAGCATGAGTACTAAATGGTAGAGGTCGACCGATATGGGTTTTTCACCGGCCGATGCCGATATTTCGAAATCAGGGCGGCCGATATATGATGCCGATTTTTTTGGCCGATTTTCTTATTTTTTATTTTTTTTCTCTCATTCATCTCATAAAAGTGAGTTTGAGCAAATGATTATTGCAGGGTTCAAGATAGTAATGGTAGTAGTAGCCCAATTTAGAGTAATAATACATGGCTCAAAACTTAAGCACCTTCTCAAAAGATACATTCATATAAAAACACCCGCGCTGCATTTTAATTTTGAAACGTGAAGCACTCATTTTATTCAACGAAGTATAAGCCTTTTGGAAAATCTATTTGTGGCGGTCAGTTTTGATTCTGTGATGAGCCGCCACAAATAACTCAATGTATAGGAAACACTGGACACTGCTATAAGTCAAATGGCCATAGTGATAACAAAAATAAAAGATTTCACACATATTGCACTGCCTGCTGCTCATAACTGCTTAAGAGTGCGCTGGCCACGAGCGAATATATGACATCGTGGAGGCTATTGTCGGACCCACAGACACATTTCATGAGGAAAGTTAACGTGCACGTTATAATCAGCCCAGAAGTTTCGTCTGAATTGAACGTGTTTCTACTTTCACATGCAAATGACTTGTTGCACTTATGAATATGATAACTTTCCGGCATCAATTCTAGTAGGGTAAAACGTAATCCCGCTTTCGAAACGGTCTGTTTTGCCCTGCCATTAGCTGAGGCTGTGTGTGAACAAGCAGCGGCTGCAGCCTGCAGAGCGTGAGCTGCTCCGTGACCTCCGTCTCACGCAGCCAGAGGGAGTTCCGCAACAACGCTTAGCTGCCCGC